TAACTTTTACACATTGAGACTACATCAAATCTTGAGTCACTTCAAGAAAATTGGTCATTAGTGACAACTTTTCTCTGTGACGAAAAAAAGTTGTCACAAAAGGGGATCCTTTATTGACGACTTTCTAACTCGTCACAAACCTCTAATGGGAGCCAACTCATTTGTGAAAAGTCGTCACTAGTAAATTCCCGCCAAGATTTAACAAGAGCGCGGGAGTGTTAGAACACACAATAGTGACGACATTAAGAACATCATCACTATTGCTTGGCCTATTTACGGATGACTTTTTGTTGTCGTCACTGATCACTAAAAAAAATAGTTATTAGTGACAACATTTTTTAGTGATGACAATAAGTGGTCACAAAAAGAGCTTCTTTAGTCGCGACACGTAAAGTTGTCACAATTGTATCAAAGCAACTAAATATTTAGTGACGACCCGTTATTTTCGTCACAAACTACACTGCAAGAAATATGGTTATTAGTGACAACATTTGCTAGTGACGAAAAAAGTCGTCACAAAACGTGTTTGTTTAGTGACGATAAGGAAAGTTGTCATAATTGCTCAAAGCAACTAAGTCTTCAGTGACGACCTTGAAAAACGTTGTCACTAAAATGATCTATATAGTGACAACTTCTAATATCGTCACTGTTACTCTACCGATTCGGATTTAGTGACAAGAATTAATCGTCACTGTTTAAAGTACTTATTTCTAAGTCACTTTCATTAATTCTACTGTGCCACCCTAACTTTTGCGATTTAGCCCCAAATGTTGTAAAAAATTCCATTAATTCCATTATGATACCTTAACTTTTACAATTTAGCCCCATATGTAGTACACCGATTTCTTTAATTCTATTATTACTCCCTAACTTTTGTAATTTAGCCCCATATGTAATTCACCAATTTCATTAATTCTAATATGGCACTCTAACTTTTGCAATTTAACCCCCATATGTAATACACCAATTTTATTATTTCTATTATGGCACCCTAACTTTTACAATTTAGCCCCAATTTTTTTATTAGGAAATTGCGAATGGTAGCTTGATAAACTATGCATAAATGTTTTATAATTTTCTCAAACTTAAGTAATAATTTGTTATAAACTCTAAAGATATATCTTTCATTACAATAGTTATAAGGCAGGCAGGTCTTTTTATCAATGGAATAAGAAATTTATGCCAGATTTATCCTTTGTACTACATGCCAAGTAGTATTAGCAAAGGAATAACAAAGTACTACAAAGTAATTAACAAAATAGCCTTCAGGGAGTGTAGTTTATGGGCAAATGAGCATTATCTATTCAAAGTACCAGCTTTTTATGGGCATTTTACTCTCAAACATATAATTTATGATAAATTTATAAATGTTTGTAAGTAAAATTCAAAAAGTGTTACACTAATTTCTTACAAAACGAAAACTGGCAGGTTATCTTTTCAACATAAATTAAATATTTTGAAAAAAAAGAAATGGCCCATAAAGTACCAACTCTTTGTGGGTTTCCTCCATTACATGAACAAATATTCTGCTCTTTATGGGCATTTCACTCTGAATCATTTAATTTATGTTAAATACATAAATGTTTGTAAGTAAAATTCAAAAAGTGTTGCACTAATATTTTTATGAAAGGGAAACTGGTAGGTTTTGTATTTAACATAAATTAAATATGTGAAAGCAAAAAAAAAAAAGAAATTACCCATAAATCTATGTCTTGCAAATCTATACTAGTAAAATAGTTTCAAACAAAATTAAACATTAAAATAAACTGTAATTTATACACATTAAAATATCTGTAATTTATACACATTTTGCAACTACTACTTTGTGTTTTCTCTGTAATGAATTTTTTAACTATTGAGAACTTAAGTTTTGTCTTGCAAATCTATACTAGTACAATAGTTTTAAACAAAATTAAACATTAAAATAAATGTTTGAAAAAGAACAAAAGTACATTTATCACTTGCAGTAATGTAACAAAATTTTCTCAACCATTATCAATATTTTCACAAAAGTATTAAAAACTAGCAATTGACAATATTAAAAACTAGCAATTTAATTAGTGACGACTTTTCTTGTCACTATAATCTTGAATAAATTAGTGATAACATTATGTCATCACTAAATTTTCTTTGATTTTGACTTAACAATAATGTCTTATTAATAGCATTTGATTATTTTTAATGAAAGTCTGTTATAACCATAGAATTTGACTTTTGTTATTTTCAATTAATGATGTACTTTAGTGCTGCAATTATAAAAAATTGCAGGGCTAAAATATTTGCAAATTATAAAAGTATATTTTCACTTATATGTAATTAACAAATTTTGCCACCTATATTGATGAAAATTTGTGTTTTTGTACTAAAAAATAAAGAATAATACTATAGCAATAAAATCTATGCTTCAAACCAAATTAAAAATAAAAAAAGCATGATGATTGGTCTCAAATGTTGGGAAAATGATTATTTTTATTGAAACTATGTTATAACCATATAATTTGAGTTTAATTATTTTCAATTACATGATGTTCTTTAGTGCTGCAATTGTAAGAAATTAGTATAAAATATTAGCAAATTATAAAAGTACATTTTCAATTATATGAAATTAACAAATTTTGCCACCTATGTTGATGAAAATTTTTATTTTTTGCTAAAAAATAAAGAATAATACTATAGCATTAAAATCTATGGTTCAAACCATATTACAAATCCAAAAAAAAACATGATTTTTGGTATCAAATGGAGGGAAAATGAGTGAAGTCAAAATTTTGATCAAATCATAGTGAAAGTGCCGCGCAACAAAAATAATATCCAAAGCAAAGCAAAGACCAAAGCAGCGGAACACATTCTGAAAACAAAAACAACGGAACACTTGGTCTGAGTTAAAGCAAACAAACAAGCTTCTGCACTGAGCTGAAACAGAGCTTCCGAGCTGAAACACAAACTTTCACCGAGCTGAAACAAACAAGCTTCTGCACTGACGGCTGGGAGCAGAGGGTCTGGAGGGCTGATGAAGCAAGAGAGTTGGCGGCTGGTTGAGTTAGGAAACAAGAGGGGCAAGAGAGAGAGAAAAACAACGGCGGGGAAGTTGATGGCTGAAGGTAAGAAAAACCAGAGAGAGCTAGGTTTTGACAGACGGGGAGAAAGAGGACAGCGAGATAGCTGAGAGAAAAACAAGAAGAGAGGAGAACTTTGAGAGAAAAAAGAGAGAACCACCAGCGGAGAGAGCTAGCAGTAACGGGCTGGGGGTTGTTTACGGCTGGAAAAGAAGGGGCAGCGCTGAGTGAGAGAGAGAGAAACAACGGCTAGAGGGGGCGGCTGAAGATTGCGAGAGAACAAGAGAATAGAAGAGAAAGTAAAGGGGGCGGCGGACGGGCTGAACAGAAACAAAAGAAACAAGGACGGAGAAAAGGGAAGCGAATCAGCACAAAACAGAGCTTCCGCACGGCACCTGATACTTTCACCCACACAACAAATCCGTTCTCTGGCTTCTCACTAGCATCACCATGGCTGTCCAGCATTAAAGGGCAAGGTTTTCATTAGAAAGGTTCATTTTTCTCTCTCCTAAACATTTTCCCCAATTTTTCCAAATCCCTAATATTCTACAATATTTTTTGCAAATTTCTGCCCAAAATCTTTTAGCAGCTCTTGATTATTAGATGCTATCATAGCTATTGGGATCCAGATGATGGAAAGCATAGACTAGAATCTTGGTACAGATGTTGGCTCAACTTTTGGAAGTTTCTCTTTCATTGGGATATTGTAAAAAATGTTTCACTAGCGTACATCTTGTAGTACTACATCATATATTGGGCAGAAACAATGATAAATGCCAGTGCAATAATAAAGAGAAGAAGAAGAACTTCATTTTGATATCTCATATATGGCATTGTCATCCTAGATTTTTGTTGGAAAATAATTATTTGCAGCTCCCTAATTTCTTGGACATTGTTGATTGCAACTTCCGTTACAATATTTCCTTTACTTAATTAGTTCTGACTAATTCTCAGAATCATAAGCCATCGTGAAGACAACCAATGCATTACTTTATAGCACCGTTTGCTATTAATCTTTTTTGTACTTCTTAGTTGCCATTATATCATTATTGTGGTTGGTTAATGGCTTAAGCCATCCAAGGGAATCGATATACTTCAAAATTTGGCCATAGATGCTATACTATTTCTGCAAATTCTGATTCAACAGGCTGGCAAGTGGCAACTTCAAGTTACACGACTTAAAAAAGTACTCTAATTTACTTACAAGATTTGCCGTGCAAAAAAGATTGATCTTATACTGTGGCTGCAGATTCTATTTAGTTTGTTGCCTTACTAATGCATTTGTACTTGAGATGGTTGATTTTTGCTAAAAATGTGTTTTACACCTTGGATCCCATTGCTAGTATTTGAGGAGTTTAAATTTAGTTCATATTACATTGCATTTGTTTTCTATATAATGTGGCGGTCATATTCTTTATGGTAGGATAAAGGGCTGCAACAATATGGATAGGAGTTGGATGTCTATTAAGAACTACCTCGACCCCAAGTATTTAGATGGAGTTGATGAATTTATTAAGTTTGCTTTTCTAGGCAAGGATCCTAATTGTAAACTGCCATGTCCTTGCAAAGTATGCAATAATTTTGAGGATCAAACTAAGGAAGTCATGGCCAATCACTTGTGTCGAGGAATTGTTGATAGTTATACTAGGTGGATATATCATGGCGAAGGGTTTGAATCTGATGATGAGAATGATGACATAGAAATAAGTGACAACGATAGTGACTTTGACAGTATGGAGGAGCTTGTTAAATGATGTAGGAGTTGCTAACTTTGGTGAGAGTTGGAGACATTCACCGGAACTTGATACGGGTGCTTGTACCGAGAAAGAAGGAGAAGCAAGTAGGTTTCTCAGATTATTATCGGAGGCTGAAAAATCTCTATACCCGGGCTGTGAAAAGTATTCAAAACTCTCGTTTATTGTCCATATCCTCCACTTGAAAACAATGAATCGGTGGACTTGTAAATCTACTGATATGTTGCTGAAGTTCTTGCATCAAGTATTTCCTACAGCTTTGATTCCCAGTTCATATTACGAGGCAAAAAATTTCATCCGTGAGTTGGGGCTGAAGTGTGAAAAGATCCACGCCTGTGAAAATGATTGCGCACTTTTTTGGAATGAAAATAAAGGCCTTGATCATTGTCCAAATGAAAAATGTAAAGCACCGCGGTATAAATCTCCAAATTCCAAAATACCTAGAAAGGTGTTGCGTTATTTTCCATTAAAACCAAGGCTGCAAAGACTGTTTGTGAACAAAGAGATTGCTCGGGATATGAGGTGGCATAAGGAGAGACGTGTAGATAATGAGAACATGATGCGACACCCTGCTGATTCATTAGCTTGGAAGGATTTTGATAGAAATCACAAGTCCTTCGCTGAAGATCCTAGAAATGTGAGGCTAGGACTTGCTAGTGATGGCTTTAATCCCTTTGGAACCATGAGCAATTCATACAGTATATGGCCTGTTATCCTTGTTCCTTACAATCTACCTCCTTGGAAATGCTTAAAAGATCCATTTTTTTTCCTATCAATGATTATTCCTGGTCCCAAAGCACCTGGAAATGACATTGACATATTCTTTAGACCACTAGTTGATGAGTTAAAAGAGTTATTTGCCACTGGTGTGGAGACATATGATGCCTTCAGGGAGGAGAAGTTCATGTTACGTGCAGCACTTTTGTGGACAATAAACGATTTTCCAGCATATGGCTATTTGTCGGGATGGAGTACAAAAGGGTACAAGGCATGTCCTATGTGCTTAGATGAGACGACTAGTCTATATCTTAATAATGGTCACAAATGTTGTTACATGGGCCATCGCCGTTTTCTGCCTATTGATCATAAATGTCGTCGAGAAAAAAAGCAATTTAATGGAGAAAGAGAACATAGACAGCCTCCTAGGACCCTATCAGGTGAGGAAGTCCTCCAACAACTTCTTCGTATTGAGCAAGTTGAGTTTGGCAAGGCACCTGATTTGCTGCAACAAAAGAAAAGAAAACGCGTGCAGAACAGTTCAAATTGGAAGAAGAAGAGCATATTCTTTGAACTTCCATATTGGAGTACCAATAAAATTAGACATAATTTGGATATTATGCACATTGTCAAGAATGTATGTGAATCTTTGGTAGGTACATTAATGAATATCCCTTCGAGAACTAAGGACACATGGCAGGCTAGGGAGTATTTAAAAGAAATGGGATTAAGGGAAGAGTTGCATCTACAACCGGGAGGTGGCACATCTAAAGTTATGCCACCTGCATGTTACACTTTATCAAGCCTAGAGAAAAAGAATTTCTGCCAGTTTTTTAGCACTATCAAGTTCCCGGATGGCTTTGCTTCAAACATTCCTCGATGTGTGAAGACCAAGGAGCGTCAACTTTTAGGAATGAAGAGTCATGACTACTATGTGTTCATACAACGACTTCTTCCACTAGCAACTAGAGGAATGCTGTCAAAAGATGTATCTCAGATTTTAGTAGAGATCAGCAATTTTTTTCGAAAAATTTGTTCTCGAACTCTCTATCTAGATGAGCTGGAAATGCAGGAAAAAAATATTATTTTAATACTATGCAAACTTGAGAAAATTTTTCCTCCAAATTTCTTTGATGTAATGGTCCATTTAATGGTCCATTTACCCACTGAATCCAAGATTGCTGGACCAGCCCAATACCGGTGGATGTTTCCATTTGAGAGGTACATGCCTCTTAATTTTAATAATGCCTATTTGATTTACCTCCAATTTTCTTATTTTCTAACAACTCCGGCTGAATTTTTTTTGGATAGAAAAATGGGTCAATACAAAGGCTATGTGAATAATAGGGCACGACCTGAAGGCTGTATAGCTGAGCGGTACTTGGATGATGAATGTCTTACATTCATTTCCAGGTATTTGCATGATGTTCCGACCAGGTTTAATCAAACGGAACGAAATATGGAGAAACACGAAGCTGCTGGAAAATTATCTATATTTTCTAGCTTGGCTCGGCCCTTTGGGGCAGCACTGATTGGTTATCTAAGTGAGGTTGAATTGCAAAGAATACACCTATTCATCTTGAAAAATTGTGAAGAAGTAGATGCTTACATGAGGTAATAATATACTTTAATGCTAAATCTATGCCGTGTTCTATAATATGTTCTTCATTGCTTATAATTAAAGTCATTTGATAGAATATGTAACTACTTCTACTACTACAAATTTAGGGAGCATAGACAAATTCTTGAAAAGCAAAATTTATCGAGCGTACAGCAAAGGCTAGACTCGAAGTTTTCAAAGTGGTTTGAAAAACGTGTAAGTATTGGAAGAGAAGTTAAAAACTTGTCAATTTCCTTTACTTTTTATTTTAGTAAACTATTAAAGAATCTGGTATGGCTGATGTAGGTCATGTATACACATGCACGTGGAGAATGTACTGATGAATTGTTGTCCTTGGCTAGAGGACCTGATTTTCGAGTCAATACATTTGTTGGCTGTAATGTGAATGGATTTAGATTCCACATTAAGGCTCGGGAAAGAGAAAGAAAGACACAAAATAGTGGAGTTATGGTAAAGGGGGAGCATGCTGATAAAGAAACATACTTCTATGGTACAATTACTGATATAGTTGAGGTTGAATACTCATTTACTCAAAATCGAGTAGTTGTGTTTAAATGTGATTGGTGGGACTTGAGAAATACTTCGGGAATCAAAGTAGACAAGCAGAGCAATATCACTAGCATCAACATGTCAAAAACATGGTACTCAGACCAGCCTTTTATATTAGCATCCCAAGCTGAACAAGTTTTCTATCTTCAAGATATGAAGCTTGGAGGTAATTGGCATGTTGTAGAGTTAGTTAGTCCACGCTCATCTTATGATGTTCCTGAGAAGCATGAAGATGATTTGGTTGATAACGAAGAGGCTTACCAAGAAGAATATCATGAAGATTTGATTGGTGTACAAGAAAATCTTGAGTTGGTCAGTTTGAAGATAGGAGATGTGCAAACTGAAGAAAGGATAGAGGCTGGTGCTATGTTTTTTATAGAATTGTCAGCTAGCCGTACAAGGCAATTGGATGACAATTTTATTGATAATGATGAGGAAATTGAGCAACAATTCAATTCTGAGGATGAAAATGAACAATTTGTACAAATCGATGACTATGAATCAGATTAAACAATGTTGTTCATTGAATTTCTTAATCAAATTTTTTCTTGTATTTTTTCTGTAGTTTATGATATGTTGTCATGGCTGCTTGTGTTGTTTACGATTTTGGTGGTGCTTGCGTTATATGATTATGTAGATAGATGGCTAGACCGGGGAAAAAGGGAAAATTTACTTTACGACAAAGTCGGGATGCTGGGCGAGGAATTGTGGAGCAAACTGAAGAAAATGTAAGCTGTCAGGTAAAGAAACAAGAGTCATTTCCAGATATTTTCTTTTTTCCTAAACTAGCAATTATCATCCTAAACTAGTTACTATTGATAAGCGCATTCTTATGTTATTGTAGCAAGCTAGTGAACCAAAAAATAGTGCAATTCCCAAGACAAGCAATGTCACTGAACCTGTATTGACAAAAAGGTCTTCTAGGATCCGTCTATTTGATGAATCTGAGGTTAGTTATTATTTTTTTCAATCTGCCACTTAGATAAACTGGTTTATGACAAAGCAATTGATTCAACTTTTACATGTCGTTGTATAATGGTGGCTTAAATTGCTGGATTATAGATTCCTAGTGCATCCTCTGCTAGAGAAAATGCTACAAGAAATTCAGGTATACAAGCTGAGAGTAGACAGATTGCTGAAAAATCTTTAGACAATGGAATGACATCACAAGAAGCTGCTGGGATGCAAATTGATGGAACTCCTACTTCACAGCATGTTGGATCTAATCAAGCTATTGGTTGTGAAAGCAATGAAACTGAAAGTATGCAAGACCTTGAGTCAAACGGTTCAGGTATGTCAGTTTTATGTGTAATTCTACTCTAATTAACTAATTACTGCCATGGCTGCTATTGTTAGCACTTATGGTCTTGTTTACGTTGTATCTACTAGACCAAGTGACGTTAAAAAGAAAAAGAGGATATACGCGTAATATTGCACTATCAAATGAAAAGAAAGCTGGAAAAAAGGTGAACATTACTGTTTCTGAAATAAGTGGAAGACTAGTTGGAGAAGGTGCTCAGCGATACATTTCAGAGGCAAGCTGCGTTATTCGAAAGTATGGCAAGTGGAAAGCACCTAAATGGGGCAAGCTTCCTAAAGATGATAGATATCAACTGCTAAGAATTACTAATGTAAGAATCTGCTATCATAGTATTTTTTTGGTTTTCTAGACGCAATTTAAATTAGTCCATTAATTTTTTCTGATTTTGATATGTCCTTCTATTTTTAATTCAGAATAGTTTCACTTATGATGGAGGAGAGCATGTGAAACCAGCTTTAATTAAGCAATTAAATTCACAGTATAGAAGTCGACGTTATAATTTTCACATGCTATTCAAAAAATGTGGCTCTAAGGAAGAAGCTCTTGCACGTCGACCAGAATATGTGGAAGAATCAGATTGGATTTACCTTTGCGATTACTATTGTAGTCCAGAATTCAAGGTATGTGTAGCACATACTTGTTAATTTGCTATATACTTTGCCAATGTCTCTTTTTTATCTAGATCTGAGATAGAATTGACAATTGTAGGCCTTAAGTGAGCGAAATAAGCTGAACAGATCAAAGCAGCAAACTGCCCATACAGCTGGAACAAAATCATTTTTACGTCATAAGGATGACCGGGTCAGTAAACGTGTAAAGTAGTTCATTTATGATGTGTGGTTGGGTTATTTAACCTGTTTTGCTAATAGGAAGCTAAGGAGGGAAGGACAGTTGGACCAATTGAACTTTATGACATGACACATTTTAGTCGAAAGAAGAATGCTATGGTTGACGAGACATCAACTGAAAAACTGGTAAGAAATATATCACTTTCAACTGAATACCAATGCTTCATGTCTCTTATGCATATATCAATAATAGCAAACCTGTGATTGTAGAGCAAAATGAAGGAGTTACAGCTAGAAGCTCAATCTAGTGGTGTAAATCGAACCGAAGAAGACATCTGTATTGAGGTGACTGGGCGTATAACTGGATATGTACGTGGTCGTGGCCCCTCCAAGGCTAGTTTAATTACACAAAAACTTGCAGAGATAGAAGAATTCAAAAAAAGGGCAGAACAAGCTGAGAAACGATCAGCTGAATTGGAAGTTCAAGTCCAATCTCAACAGCAACTGATGCAAAGGCTTGAGAATCAACAAACTGAAATGCAAAACCAGCAGCTTGAAATGCAGGAACTCCTCAAGGCTTTACGAGCAGAATTGCAGTCCAAGAACCAAGGCAATGGAAATGCATCTGGTAGTAATAGCTGGTAATGCATCCTTCTCATACGAATAATTGAATTACAATACTAATGTGAACTATTGCTATTCTGATCCTTTAACTTATTGATTTTGGGGCTGATGTTATGCATCATTGTGGACTGTTTTTGATAATAGCATTTTTTGGGGCTGATGTGACCTGTTTTTGGGTAACTTGTGGTCACTGTGGACTGTTTTTTGGTAATAGCTGGTAATAGCATTTATTGGGGCTGATGTTATGCATCATTTTGGACTATTTTTTGTTATAGTTGTGTAGTTTATGGTTATGGTTATGGCTGACCTGTAGTTTTTGGTAACTTGTGGTCACTGTGGACTGTTTTAGAGAGCTCTTTAGTTGAGCTTATGCAGTGTTGTATTTGTATAGATTGGATTGTGATTTCTAACTTTTTGCTGGTGTTGTAATATGTGGGTCCAAATTATATGAGGTTCTTAATGAATTGTAATTTTTGTCTTAATAATCTAAGTCTCATTACTTGTTCTTTATTATTGTACTCCTCCCCTTACCTACTTCTTTTACTCTTTTATGACAGATAAATGCTATTCATACTAGCTTTTGAAAGATATCTATGGTTATGGTTGAAGCATGTTGAAGACAAAATTGCCTTTTGCTCATGGAGTGGTTCATTTAGATATTCTTCAATTTCTTAAACTGTGATTACTTTTGTAAATGTACCTTATGTACAAGTGATATTTTGGACAAATGTTATTTTTGTAGGCATTAGTTGGGTAATGTACACTTGAATTTGGCATTTGAGAATGCTATATTATTACCATGTAATCTAATGCAAATACTTTTGGTTATCAATCGTTCATGTTTATTTGTATGGTTTGTTTAAAATCAATGATTTAGCAATGATATCAGTCGCCAAATTATGACTATTAAGCTATTGAGAAATTATCTAATGACAAAAAAAAGTTGTCACAAAATAGAAAATAAAAACTCCTTGTCACAACAGAGACTGTCACTAAATCTAAGCTACATTTGTGACGGCAATTGTTGTCAGTAAAATAGTTATATACAATGGCTTTCGGTGCTTTTAGTGACGACTTTAAGTAGAGCATTTTTGACAAAAGATCAAGTCATCAATAAAACACTTCCAGATTGTCGTCACTAATGACAACTATTTAGTGATGACATTTCAGGTCGTCACTAAATAGTTGTCATTAGTGACGACAATCCGGAAGTGTTTTATTGACGACTTGATCTTTTGTCAAAAATGCTCTACTTAAAGTCGTCACTAATGATAACTATTTAGTGACGACATTTTAGGTCGTCACTGTTTACTTTTACCGACGGGGATTTAGTGACGACTTTGTGACGATCAAAAAGTCGTCAATAAAAGGTATTTGTGACGATATTTGTATGTTCTGTGATGACTTTGTGTTGTCACTGATGAACAATTTTCTTGTAGTGAGTGATTCAAGTGTGAGAATACTCTTTAAAGAAGATTTGTACTCTTAGTTGTGTAACTTTCGATAAGTTTTTCAAATGTGTTTCTATTTCTTCAATAGTGTAGATTTGTGAGGGTTATCCGAACGATAGTAAAATTTCCTTGCTTGACCAAGTGCGGCTTGAGGCGAGGAGGAAGTGATCCTTCCTTTGTACACAAGAGATTGATTGTAAGTTGATCAACTTGAAGAAACTTGCTATATAAAGTGGTATTCAAACTCAAGTGGAGTTTGAAACTTGGTTTGCTATTCTATCTTTTTACTTACTGTCTTGCAATATAAATTGTCTATCTCTTCTACTCTCAAACACTTGTGCTTCCTCATCAATTGCTCCATTGTGTGGTCTTTTAAAAAAAAAGGGCAAGTTCTAAAAAATGACTCATATCTTGGCCAATTTTTTAAACCACCTAATTCACCCCCCCTCTTAGGTTATTTTCGATCCTTACAATTGGTATCAGAGTTTGGTCTCCTAGAGATTAAACTCAATCGGTTTTGGAGTAAAAATGACAACTAACAATGTCATATTTTTTTAAGGACAATCCGTCACTAGACCCCCAATATTCAATGGATCAAATTATGTGAGTTGAAAGGAGAGGATGATTATCTTCTTACAATTTATTGATATTAAGTTGTGGTTTATTGTCAATGAAGGTCCATATGATGCCTCTAGTATTGATGAACTTACTCTTAGGTCGAGACCAAAAATAAGGAGTGAGTTGACTGGTGATGATAGAACTCATCTTACTTTAAATGTCAAGGCTATGAATGTTTTATACAGTGCTTTAGATTCAAATGAGTCTATTAGAGTCAAAGGTTGTAGATCTGCAAAAGAGATTTGGGATAAACTCAAAAAAATTTATGAAGGAAATGAGAATGTGAGAGAACAAAAGAAGTCCATTCTGGTCACTAAATATGAATCTTTTAAGATGGAACCTCAGGAAAATATTGACAAGATGTATTGCAGATTCAATGATGTTATTAAGAATTTAGAAATATTTGAAAAGGATTACTCTCTAGGTGAAAAAAATAGAAAAATTCTGAATACTTTATCAAAGGATTGGGAGAGTAAAGTGACTGCCATTGAGGAAGCTAAAGATCTAAATACCTTGCCCATTGAATCTCTTATTAATTCTCTAACTTCTTATGAGTTGAAACTCAAGTCCAAGGTGCAGGTGGAAGAAGATACAAAGGTGAGGTAGTAAGAAATAAGGCTAGACTTGTAGCCAAGGGATATACTCAAGAAGAAGGAATTAATTTTGATGAATCATTTGCACCCGTAGCTAGGCTGGAATCAATTAGAA